TCCACTGACTGGTGCATTATGATTAGAAGAATGAACTTATTATGATGCCTCTATAACAAATAGTAGAAACCCAATCAATTTAAAGCATAAATTTTAACTTGTGACTGTAAGCTGTATTTTGATTTTTAATGAATATTTGTTAATATTAACACAGTCTATATATTTATTGGATAGGTAACCACACTATTGCCATAATAAAAGGTCATGAGTCGTACGAGTTGCTCAAAAGTTCTTGCTCAACCATATTTGAGCAAGTCAACAAATTGGTCAAAGATAAAAGCATAGAAGTAAATGGCATCAGCATTCCAGTGGAACTTTATCTTGGAGGAGATTATAAGGTACAGTGTATTACATAATGTAAATATTTCCACAAACCTGCATAATTATATGCTGCTCAGCATGATATAACATTACTAATTAAACAATACTGTTGAGGTATAATATATCCGAGAAATTAAGAAAATTAAAATTGTTGCATTTTTTTAAATTTAGTTTTTGCTTCTTATGATGGGGATGAAGGGTGCGACATCTGACTATGCATGCATATGGTGCAAAGTTCATAAGAAAGACAGGTATGTTAAGATTCTTTTCCTGGGGGCATTGTAATTGACTTGATGCACCAGTCCTGATTTCAGGTCAAAAATGACCAAAACCAGCTGACTATGAACTGGAAAATCATATGTCCAAATGAGCCTATACTTTAGTATTTTACTATGTTTAATGCCAGACGATTTTATGTGTCAATGGAAGATTACTGCTAGTGAATGAGTAATAATATTAATACCCAAGTTTATTAACTCTATTTTGTAATTTTTCATAGACTCAGACAACTGTTTTCGTTTTTCAAGTAGTTCTACTATTACCAAAATGGCAAAACCGCGATTCTTTGTCTCACATGAAAAAAATGTGTCATGTTTTTGCATCAAAACATTCATGAATGGAATCGGCATTGTGGGAGTAGAAACATTTGATTGGTCAAGGCAACAGGTATGCAGTTGCATTCCTAAATGTTTTGACACGAAAACATGACATGTTTTTCAAGGTAGACGAAGGATCCACAGTTTTCGTAATAATATGTTTACCACAATAATATTAATTTTTGTGGGCAGAAACTAGAATGGCAATTTTTCTTTTAGCAACTATTCTTGTATCCAATTTCCCCTGATGGCGGGTGGTCCCGAAATATAAATTATACCTATCTCTTTGTCTTCTCAGTCCTAATATATAAAAACCATTTACCTGATTGAGAGTGTGATTGGGTGTGTGATTGGGTGTGTGGCTACTGTTAGGGGAGGTTATTGTCTAACTTTTTAAACTTTTAGATGTGATGTATCAAAACACCAAGATTTTTATTGGGAAAATTTGACACGAAGTATTGAAGATATCTTTCAATGTGCATTAAAGAGAAATTATTCTTGTGAATACAAGCCTCTTTTGAATATTCCTCTATGCAATGTGGTTTTGGATGAGCTGCATTTGATGTTGCGTGTTACAGGTAAGATCTCTGGTCTCTTGAAAATGTCTTTTATGCAAGGCATGCGCTCTATTGTGTATGCAATGATAAAATAACAAATTTGAAGCAAACGATTCCACATTCATGTGGGATGCAAGTTGCCTGCCTACCTCCGAGGCTTTTAACTTTATTATTGGCTGTAGCATGTTTGCCAACCTTGTATAAATGGATACTATACATCAGACAGCATATGCATGAAGGCATTTTGTAGTAAGACATTAATTGTGTACACTAAAAACTTTAGGGAAATAGCTTTATACCAATATAAACATAAATTAATTTGAATATTATTTTAATTTTGTATATATTATTTACTATTACTCTTATAGACAAGCTGACCAAGAATCTGGTCATAAATGCCATAGAGAATGACAGGAGGGAAAATTTGAATAAAAGACCAATGGACAGGTCCAACAAGAATTTAGATGCACTCATTAAGTGCATTAGAAGTTGTGGGATATCTTTTAATGTCTGGGAGAAAGCTGAAGAAGATTGCAGAGGTGGCCTGTATGACTTTACAAGCCTGATGGGTTCAGACAAGCGACTGCTCCTCAAGACTTTGCCAAGCAAGCTGGCGACCATACTTCCAGATAATACAAGTGGGACAATTGTTAGACTCTGGCAGGTATTAATTGGGACATTGGCATTATTTTGGGGTCGACCATGTACATTTGTTTGTATGATTTATTTGCTCTGTTATATTTTCTAGGAATTTAATGAAATGTATGAAATGATGGGTGTTCCAACTCCAACAGATGAACAAATATGTAAATACTTTGACAAGGTATGTTCTGCTTTACCCTATTAGCTAGCAGTACTCTCTCCACTAACAAGTAAAATTGTCAGGTCACTCCAGTGTAGAACAGAGTAAAACACTAAAGTGCAGGAGAGCATTTGGGTGTATTGCTAGTTAGACACTGGCCGTACTCTTCCACCGATGAGTAAAATTGTCTGATAGCCGAGTAAAATACTAAATTAGGTGCATTCAACTGTATTGGCTGTTAATCAGACTCATAGTTACAAAATATAATTTATTCAATAAAGGTACAATTCAGTTTGTTTATCATTTTAGGCTGTGAATTGGGTTAATTTGTTCCTGTCCATGAATGGAAAGAACTTGGGGTACGAGCCTGCAAGGATCACCCCCTATATGCATGCCATGGTTTACCATGTTCCCCGGTTCATGCAAAAGCATGAGGGGATAAAGAAGTTTACTGGTCAAGGTACATCATTAATTAATTAAATTAATGAAACAATATTTGGAGCACTGTGTATATTATGCATAAACTTAATTATTTGAAAATGCTTTTTAAATTTGCTACTAGGCGTGGAAAAACTCAATGATGATTGCAGGCGAGTCCACCTGCAAAGGTCGAATAAATGGGATGCACCAAAAGATGTCCTTCTTGTTGGCAAACGGGTCGAGCATTTGTCTGACTGTGAACGACTAACACGGCCCTACCAGAAACGAAACACTGATTACTGGGATAACACAATAAAGGATAGCCGTTCAAAGCGACCCCGTGTATCCACACAAATTAATGAAGAACCTGAAGTTGACCTAGAGTCATTGACAGCCAGCCAAATGAAACAAAAACTTAAAGAATTAGGAATTTTGACAAAACTCCGGAGGTTACAGAAATTGAAGGAACTCCTTAGAGAAAGCTTACAAAATAAGGAGAACCAACCAAACAATATTTAAACTTAAGTATGATATGAGATCAATAGGTACTCTAAATATACTAAATAAAATAGTTTTTAATATAAATATGAGATTACAATAAATTATAGCAAATGTCAATGCATTCCGACAACTGTTTTGGAGAACTGACTGCCTTAAAAGGCCTTGCAGTCATATTTGTATGGCTATGCCACCCTAAGTTAGGGAATCCACCTGAGGTTCTTTTCACATTGACTTCATGTAGTAATATGCAAAATAGTTAAGAACATCATGTAGCAATGAAACAATTAACAAAGCAAAAAGTGTAAACAACACTTAAGATGGTAAAGCCACAAAGTAATGACTGTAGAGCCCTGACTGAAGTTTACCAGTCTTCCTAATCATATTTACTTTTTAATTCCAATTGAAGTGTTCTTGAATACTGAATCAATATGTATGAACATTTCGAGGAACTTGAACTATTAATGAACTGGTCGTGCCAGGTAATGTATTGATTCAATTTCAAGCAACACTTCAATTGGAAGCACTGTAACTATGAATGATTATTACTATTGTAATGTAATAATTATATATCTAGATTATTAAATTTGCTCTGCCACACAAGATTTCCTAATTATTGTTAGACAAACTTTTTCTACTGGGAATCTTTTTGCCTCAACCATTTTACCATCCTTTTTTGTGTATTTCTTTGGTGACCAAGATAATATAGGTTTGGCTTTCAACGGGAAGTCAACTGAAATTCCATTTCCATCTCCATTTAGGTTGTACCACCAATTCTCGGGTAAATATTTAAATTTGCGGAAGTCTTCCATTTTGAACAAATGATGACCACGGTGTTCAGAGGGAACCCCTTTTTCAAATACCACATATCTCCACACATCTAAGTCGATGGTGATATAAACCGGTGCTGATCGTCGACTTCGAAGGGCACTAGTGACACCACAGGCAAATTGCGAGGATGCCACTTGCAGTCTCTCATTTGTTATTGGTGGTTCCTCGTAGTTTCTGCAAATTAAAATTAATCAGTAAAACTTGTGTGTTGTCTGTTGAAATGCATTTTTACTGTGTTCAATGTCATGCCTGTAGAAAAGCCTCCTAGGAGAGCTGGGTCATGAGGACATTCTTAGTGACCAAAATGAAATATAATTGTGCAAGTTGCAATCCCGGCTTTCCGATTCAGACTTCCAGCTACAACAATCAAGATCCAAACTGAATTTTGTATTTGTCAAGACGAGAATTTTCCTTTTACAGGCATGCTCAATGGAGAATAAAATCTGAAAATCAGAACTCATTTAAAAAATTAATACCAATACCAATAGAGCATAAGAAATAATCTAAAAAAAATTCAGTTCATAATATTTGCTTGGTAAAGGTACTATAAGCAGAACTTTCGGTTATAAAACATACCTCAACAGATCTGGCGATAAATTTTCTGAAGGTTCCCACGTGGAGGTCTCCAGAGACCATCCTTTCGATTTTATTAAGTATTCGTAGCCCTTTAAAATATATAGCATCTCCATGATTAACGTGAACCAATAAAGGTATCTACTGCACAAAATATAAAGTTTCGGTGCAGTAGGAAACGGTAAAAATATAGCAAAGTATATACTATTATTATAAACGCATTCAAAATATATTACAAGCGAATAATGCGAATTGAAAACACAACTCACATGGCAAACTCTGCGCCTTGTTATGACTCGTTCGACTTCGTAAAAGGAAGCATTCTTCTTCTTTTTTCCTGTGTCATATAATACGACTGATGACAGCGCGTTTAGTTGCTTGTAATCGACAATTTTCCCAGCACGTTTTGAAGAGATGTTGTTGGCAGCCATTTTGAACTTCTCTGACGGTTTACAGGGATAAATGGGGATCGCTTTGAGCGTTATGAGGGATATATTTGGATATATATTTTAAAAGAAAATTGCTGTGTAAAAATCTCGCGGGCTCAAATGTCCGCAATTTCTGGCCATGTATATATGGTCGTTTGAGCTCTCTGCTCCAGTACGCTCTGCGCATGGCAGGATGCGTTGAGTCACCGTGTAGTACCACAAACACCGCGGAAAAACGTCTGCGCATGCACCGAATTATGAAAATATAGCGGGGAATTTGAATATCAATTTCTAAAACAAAAACATGCTTATTAATTGGTCAAAAATTAGTAAAACAAACGAGAAAATATAGCAAATGGGTAGACTACACATTAATTGAAAGCGTCCCGGTATTTAAAGTATGGAATGAAATATAATTCATGTAAAAAATTGTTGATTTTAACGGACACGACTTCGAAAATTTTTGCAAAATTATTCAAAACAAAAATTCAAACTCAAAAGTTAAGAAAACTCTCGAAAAGTTAAGAGCGACTGTCTACAAAAATCAAACAAAATGAGAAATATGTGGCAAGGTTCAAAATTTTAAATTCGCTCTACTTTTGAATATAAGTTGACTATGGTGAAGTGAGAAACGTTATGCGGTTAGTTTTTAAAAATACTCTTTTGTTTATGAAAAAAAGGCAAAAAAATGTTTCAGCTGTGAGGACCGATCTTCGCAATCGAAAATGGCCGAAATTGCGTATGTTTACTTAATCCTGGTATCCAAACCCTAAATCCAAATAGCCTTATTATACTTTCTGTTAAAGCTACAGCACTCCCTCGTTTATTAATAGTGGTTTTATGATAATTGAACAACTGAACACATTTGTGCACAATAAAGAGCGACGAGTACTGATTTTTAATGTTTGTCATTGCATGTAAAAAGTGGCAGATTTCTCCATTTGCCATCCTCTCAAATCTTATGGGATTTTGTACAACCACTATTGGGAAACTGCCCTTTTCAGAAATGTATAATTTATTTTGGGCAAATAAATTCACACGCTTTGAGAAAGAGTTAACTTTGGTTCATTAAATATGCAAAATCACTGTTTCGCGATTGCGTGACTAAACATGCACCCCTTGCCATCTGAAACTCACTTAAAACATCATTGTTCTTCACCTTTAGTTTAGAGAATTTGAAGAAAACATAAATATACATACCTTGAATGCAAAAAGTTCCTTTGAGCTGTTCCACTTTTGGAGTTAGCCCTAACTTAACTACATATTAAACTCAAAGTTCAAGGAGTCCAGCTAACAGAAATCAGCTAACAATGTAACGGATATTAATTAATCATGATAACAGTAGCATAGCGGCGTGCGGATCGCATTTTTTCGACAATAATCCACATAAAAACAATATTAAAGATACAAGTAATGCATCACAGTGGCATTACTTTCGCCAAATCGACAGGAAGCCCGCCACCTATAATGTAATCATTTGGTGACAAATAGCTTTTTCAATATGTCAGTAGAAAAATAAAATAGAATTTCTGTAATATTAACTTTGACTGTTTGTTTCTAAGAATATTAATAATTGTAAATAAAAGTAAATTACAGCAATAAAAAAACCTCAATTCGCAATAATCCACTTGATAGAAAAAAATATTAAAAAAGAAATGACAACATTACAGTAATACATCGCAGTGGCATCACTTCCGCCAAATTGACAGGAAGCCAGCCACCTATAATGTAAACATTTAGCTTTTTCGATATGTCAGTATAAAAATAAAATAGAATTTCTGCATCTTTAATTTTGACTCTTTGTTTCTAAGAATATTAATAATTGTAAATGGAACACGAATGGAAGTTGTGTGAATTGTTAGCTGATTTCTGATAGATTGGATTCCAGTAAAAAACCGAACGGTCGACAATATTAAATTCCTGGTAAAAAACTCCAAAAGTGGAACCGCTCAAAGAAAATTTTTCAATCGGACCATTCGCGTAATAGACTAATTTTTTATCTAAACAAAAATTTCATAACAGCTTGAAAGAGCATCACAAAATTAGTAATATTCCAAAATTTCGTTGCGAAATGTTGTAAAATGCGGATAATATAGCCCTGCGAAGTTTGCAATTTTCAGTCATTTTAGCCTGTCAATTTCCCGTTTGTAATCTAAAATGACTGAAAATTACAAATTTCGCAAGGCTATATTATCCGCATTTTACAACATTTCGCCACGAAATTTTGGAATATTACTAATTTTGTGATGCTCTTTCAAGCTGTGATGAAATTTTTGTCTAGACTTGTTGAGATCAAAATTTAGTCTATTACGCAAATGGTCAATTGCCAAACAGTGATTTTTGCATATTTAATGACCAAAGTTAACTCTTTCTCGTAGCGCGTGAATTTATTTGCCCAAAATAAATTATACATTTCTGAAAAGAGCAGTTTTCCAATAGTGCTTGTGCAAAATCTCATAAGATTTGAAAGGATAGCAAATGGAGAAATCTGTCACTTTTTACACGCAATGACAAACAATAAAGATCAGTACCCGTCGTTCTTTATTGTGCACAAATGTGTTCAGTTGTTCAATTATCATAAAACCACTTTTAATAAACGAGGGAGTGATGTATCTTTAGCAGAAAGTATAATAAGGCTATTTGGATTTACGGTTTGGATACCAGGATTAAGTAAAAATACGCAATTTCGGCCATTTTTCGATTGCGAAATCGGTCCTCACAGCTGAAATATTTTTTTCCCTTTTTTTCATAAACAAAAGAGTATTTTTAAAAACTAACCATATGACGTTTCATACTTTGTCATAGTTAACTTAAATTCAAAAGTAAAGCGAATTTAAAATTTTGAGCCTTGCCGCGGTATGTTTGATTTTTGTAGAGACTCGCTCTTAAGCTTCTTAACCCACTCAAATTGTAGAATAAATCCTAAAGTTTAATTATTGTGAACACGAAAATTTTTTATATTTGGCGACACAGTTTTTTTTGAAGAAATGTATCTCAAACAAAAATTCGGAAATTGTCGTTGCTTAGTTGATAAACAAAGTGTTTCACACGATAAATTTGTCAGCAATAACCTTTAGTTCATGTTCTTGTACAATACAATTTCTTGAATCCTCTGACTGTATTTATTCCTAGTTTTTAGAGTGACATGTTTATTTTTGCGCTCGAAGTCTGGCTGTAAAGATACACAATGAAGTCACTCCTTTTTACCGCCATTTTGAGCCCTCGGAAACGTACGGAACAGCTTCTCATCAAGTTCTCAATACTATTACAGGTAAGGTTGACGCATGCGCAGACGTTTTTCCGCGGTGTTAGTACCACATGCCTTGGTGAGAGCAAGTTCATGGGGGTATAAATACAAGTGTAACACGTATTTAGACGTGTACCAAGCTGCACTGACGAGGCGTTGAACGCCGAAACATGAATGTCTGAAGATTGTACTATTACGCTCCTTCACTTCAGTGTTGTTGAGCTCTCTGCGGAGTTATTAATGGGTGTCTATTAGCGATAATGCAAAGCTCGCTTCCTTTGTGGTCGTTTGAGCACTCTGGCCTTATTACGCTCTGCGCATGTCTGGATGCGTTGAGTCAGCGTGTTGTACCACATGCCTTGCTGAGATTAAGTTCATGGTTCACGATAATCTCGAAACAATCACACTTGGAATTTCAAAACCAAAAGCCAAACCATTCTTAATTAGTAGTTGGTATAAACCACCCAATACAACATTTGAAATATTCAATGCATAAACTCTGAAAACAAGGAAATGAACTCTGAAAACAAGGAAATCATTTTACTTGGAGATTACAAATGCGATGGTCTCGCTTGGATAGTAACAGCGCTAACGCCCAGACAAACAAGCTTGCTGGAATTGCACAGACATTTCAATTTGAACAACTAATTAGACTGATCCAACGCGAATTACAGCTAATAGTAAAACCTTAATAGATCTAGAATTCACCAATAAAGTACCGGAATTGATAAATGGCTCGGGTGTCATTCATCTCGGGATAAGTGATCACAGCTTAATCTATGTACAGAGAAAAATTTTGTTCCCAGTAAAGAGCCAAAAGTGATTAAATCAAGAAATTTCAAACACTAGCTATCACTCAAACAACTTTAAATCAGACCTTTCCACATACTTATATGATCAAATATTCTGTGATATAACGCTTGATCCAAATATTATGTGGGAAAATTGAAAAACAATATTTTTGTCGGTTGTAGATTTTCATGCGCCAGAAAGAACAAAAAAAGTTAGAAGCGAGTACGCGCCATGGATTACAGAAATATCAAAAGAGACTTTTTAAAAAAGAGACTCTTTAATGAAAAAAGCAGTTAAGACAGGATCAAAACAATTCCATGATGCTTATAAACGCACACGAAATTATTTGAATAGCCTAATTAAGAATACAAACGCTATTTACTTCACAAATACTTGAAACGATTGTGATAACAACCCAAAGAAAATGTGGAAAACAGTTAATAAACTTGCAAAATAAACAAACAGTCAAAAACGGCATGTACTAAAACACGGGACACTAATCCGGAACACCGGAACAGTCCGGAACACCTACGGAACAGCCCGGAACACCTACGGAACGGCGCAGAACACCTACGGAACAACACGAAACAGTCTGGAACACCTACGGAACATGGCGCAACAACACGAAACAGTCCGGAACAGCACGGAACAGCCCGGAACACCTATGGAACATGGCGGAACAGTCCGGAACACCTCCGAAACAGCACGGAAAACCTACGGAACAGCCCGGAACACCTACGGAACAGCCCGGAACACCTCTGGAACAGCCCAGAACACGACTTAAAACGTTTGCCATGAACGTCTTTTGTTGTCTCGGAGTATGTTCATTACTCGTACTCGTGTATACTGATAAAAAATTGAAAAGAGGCTAATATCTAAAAATATCCGTTTGTTAAAGAGAATACGTCTGGACTCAAAATTTGATTCACATATTTAACTTAATATAATCTAGTATATACATATT